TGTGTTCATCCAGCTCTACACCTTGTTATCTCAGATTCTCCAGCATCTGCAGTTCCTACTATCCCTCTAAACCTTTCCTATTTATGTAGCTGTCAAAATGTCTTTTAAATGTTCTAACAGTACCTGCATCTACCACTTCCCCTGGCAGTTCATTCCACATACGAACCATTCTCTGTGTGAAAAAGTCACCCCTCAGGTCCCTTTTAAATCTTTCTCCTCTCATCTTAAAAATACTCACCCACCCTAGGTAAAAGACCTTTGCTATTCACCTTATCCATGCCTATCATGATTTTATAAACCTGTATAAATTTTCAAGAATGGAGGGAGGGAGCAAACAGAGGATGTCAGTTAGCCTGAACTCAGTTATTGAGAAAATGCTGAAATTTATTCTTTAAAATGTCTTAACAATGGACTTACAAAAGCAAAATATGATTGGGACAAGTCAACATGGTTTTATTAAAGGGAAATCCTGTTTAACAAATTTGTTAGAGCTTATTGAGAACGTATCTAGGGTGGATAAAGGAGATGTTGTATACTGAGATATTTTTTTTAAAAAAAGCATTTGATAAGGTGCCTACAAAAGATTAATTGACAAGATAAGGACAGAGAGTGAGGTATCTAAGTTTGCTGATGATACAAGTCCAGGTGGGAATGAGCAGGACACATAGGCTGCAAAGAGATAAACAAAGCCTGTTCAATGAGATGACAGATACAGTACAAAGGTTGTGAAATATGAAACTATTCACTTTGGTAGTAAGAACAGAAAAGCAGAATATTTGTAAAAATGTGTGAAACTTGTTAATGTCCAGAGAGAGTTGAATGCACCATTCAAGGAACTCTGAAAGTTAACATTCAGCAAGCAATCAGAAAAGCTATGTAGGTCTTTATCGCAAGGTGATTGGAGTACAGGAATAAAGATGTCTTGCTATAATTGTGAGGGGTTTTGGTGAGACCACATCTCAAATAATGGGTGCAGTTTTGGTCTCCGTACTTAAGGAAGGAAATACTTGTATTGAATGCATTTGGTGAGAGAAGGCATCCAGGATTGACTAACAGTCAGGAAACAGGAGTGTGGGAATAAATGGATCATTCTCATGTTGGCAGACTGTGATGAGTGTTTGGGGCCCAGCTGTTCACAATGATTTAGATTTGGGGAAGGTGTAGAGATATATAATAACATCTCCGAGCCCGTTGATTAAAAATATCTAGACTTGGAGAAGGAGGGCCCTCTTGTGGTGCAGAGGTAGTGTCCCTACCTCTCAGGAGAGATGGGTTCAAGTGCCAACTGCTTCAGTGATGTGTAATGACAACTGTGAACACTTAGTGAATATTTAAACTTGAGGATCAAATGTCCAAATTTGCAGATGATATAAAACAAAGCAGGTATTTATTCAGTGACTGGGCAAGAACGTAACAGCTGGGGTAAAATGTGGAAAAATGTGAGATTATCCACTTTGGTAGGAAGAACAGATGTTCAAAGTATTTTTTTTAAATGATAAGAGGTTGGAAAATGTAGAAGCACAGTAGGACCTAGGTGTCCAAGTGGTAAGTCACTGCAGGCTATTGGGGTTTCCATGCTGTCTGACTCTATGACTAATAAAATGCTAATATTTATTACAACAGGATTTGAGTACAGGAATAGTGAAGTCTTGTTTCGATTGTGTAGGAGCCTTGTTAGACTGCACCTGGAGTGGTGTATGCAGTTTTGGTCTCCTCATCACAGGAAAGATACTATTGTCATAGAGGCAATGCAATGAAAACTGACCAAACTTGTTCCCCAGACTGTCCTATGGAGGTAGATTGGGGTATGTAATGTCTATAGTTTTGAAGAATGGGAGGCGATCTCATTGAAACCTACAAAATACAGAAAGGAATAGATTGGGTAAATGCAGGCATGATGTTCCCCCCTAGAGATAGCAAGACCCGAAAAGTCGACTCTCCTGCTCCTCTGAATGTGCCTGACCTCCAGCTCCACATTGTTGTTTCCCCGGGTTTGGGGAGTCAGGAACCAGGAGGCACAGTTTAAAGGTAAGGGGGAACGCCAGTTAGGATGGGGATGGGGATGGGGATGGGGATGGGGATGGGGATGGGGATGGGAATGGGGATGGGGATGGGGAGAATTTAGTTGATTCGGAGTTCTGTTCACACTTTTGAAATGACATTATTTGAGACACGTCGAGGAGATGAATCCACAGTTTGCTGGGCATTGCAGCTGAGGTCATGCTGGATGGGAAGGTGACAGTTGGAGATACAGCATGACAGCTACCTCCCCTTCTCTCTCTCTCTCTCTCTCCTTCTCTCTCTCTCTCTGGCTGATGGAAGGAGGAGTGAGACAAGGTGACTCGTGCCTGGGTCTGCTGTCCCTCCCTCCCTCCCTCTCTCTGGCTGATGGAAGGATGTTAGAGAGGAGCAGCTAGTAACCAGAGTTGGAGACAGTCAGCCAGTGGATTGGGGAATCGAGTGATCCCGGAGAGATCCAGGAAAGGTGGGGAGGGAGAGGGAGGATCTGGCGGTGCCGTGCCCAGGTCTGGGAAGCACGGAGCAGGCAGCTTACTGAACACTGAGCCCCTGTAACCCACAGCTTCCTGATCGATGGGAGTGAGCGAGTTCCCGGACAGCAGGGTAAAGGCGACCCTCACGTAAGTACCAGGAGCAGGGGATGGGGCATACAATCTGCTCAGGTGCTCAACCACACCACCATGTCCAGGCACATTCACCAAAAACCACATTCTCCATCTGCACCCAACTGCAACAGCCTCCGTCTGAACTTCAAACGGTGCCCTCCACCCGGAGCGACTTCCCTCCCAACTGCATTCATGTAGCGCCGCTCACGCAGCAGCGCAGCCCGAGCGGTTTCTCAGCAGCCGCAGCACGATGCTGGTGCAGCGCCTCTAGGGGAGATCGGGCGGGGTGAGGCAGGCTCTCAGCTTGCTGGAGCACGGCTTTAGGAGGGGAATTCCACCCCACCCCCGACACACACACCCATTAAACCCCGTTCGCGGAGAGAGGAAGAGTGAGGTGGTGCCGGGATGATTATTAGGGAAGACAGGGTTCGGGAGGGTGTTGAGGACCGCAGGGGCTCACTGAGACACACAGGGAGCGGCCTGGGTGGAACATGAAAACAACTATCGATTCTTAGATAAATGCCATTGTTCCCTTTAACCAGAGAGACAGTGACACTGTT